CATATCGCTCCCAACAACAATCCGGGTCCTCATTTTACCCACCTCGGAAGGATGGAAGGCTGAGTCAACCCTGAGCCGGTGAGATTTGAACAGCCCAGCTGCAGAACTGCAGTCAGCTGAAGTAGCCTGCAGTGCTGCATTTAACAACTGTGCCACCTCGGCTCTACTGCATAATGCCATTAAGCAAATTCATGTTTCTAAACTTCAGGTTGGCCCCGGTCTATTTTACTTCATTGTTTGCTGGCAATCAAGCTGCAGTGCACCCAGCCAACCCATGGGAGGCAGTGTTCCATCTAAATAGATTGGGACAATATAATCAGCCAGGTACTACTTCAATCAGCCAGGTTTTTAGACATTGGATGGGCTGTGGGTATTGAAAATCAGTGCTAATACAATACGTGTTTTGGAGTGCGCTTTAAAGAAATTTCTACATATATACAATCTGGAACACCTTTACACAGCTCCTGGATCTGAAAGCGCAAAGGGTTTCTGTAAGAAAAGGTTTGAGACCTCCCATCTCTCATCTTACAGATTCAGCTATGCATCTACATTTGTGAAAAGGAGCTCAGGTTAAGGCATATACATAATACAGCCCTAATAATTTTCAAGGGGTTAGAGTTAGGGTTAATAGGAAAGTCCCAGGTAACCCAATTCAATTTTTTTTCTGCCGCAGCTAGGGATTGTGTTATTTGTATTTCTCCTTCCCTTCATTTATTAGTGTTAGCTTTCCTTCTAAGTATCAACCCTCATCTTATCTTGTCTGCTGTCATGCACTGAGCTGTTATTTCTAAGGGAGGGGGGAATGCAGTATTAGTCATTTTCCTTGTGAAGTAACCCTTCTTTCTGGCTTGGTTCTCCTCCCAGATTATTGCAATGTGGTCTTGTTTTGCCTTGCTACTTCACTGGTACCATCATTGTTGTTTTTTAACAAACAAATTTACCTCAATCTATTCTTCCATTTTTTGCATTTATAAACATAAAGTAAAGGTAAATGTTCCCCTCACACCAGAGGTGGGTTCCTGCTGGTTCGCACCAGTTTGGTAGAACCGGTTCGTCAAATCTACCGAACCGGTTAGAAGAGCTTCCACCGGTGGACCTGGAAGTAAGTTCCGGAACATCTGTCCCGGCCCTGTCGCTCGCTCGCTCACCCCCGCCCGTCTGGAAACCACTCCATCGCTCGGTCCCCCACTTGTCAGCACTATCCTAGCCCCGCCTACCACTCACTGATTGACTGGCTCACCAATCGCCCCACCCGCCTCTAAGAACCCTATCTAAACCCACTTACCTTTTTTCCTGCTTGGCTCGCTATTGCTGCCTNATGAAGGGAACAGCTTAAATAACAGGGGTCGACTTGGGAGTAAGGCCACAGGTGGATGATGAATGGCCCCTCCCAGAGGTAATCAAAGGGGAGTGGAGTTTGCAGGAGACAATCAGTTCATTTACTGGGTTTGTGACCCTCCGAGACTCCTTGCCAGGTTTTGCAGATATCGACCTGGCAGCTCTCCAAGCCAGATAAGCTCTGTGACTGCAAATCCTCCTTGGAAAGACTTTGCTGGATGTGAATGAGCAGAATTCCCAGTCAATTAACAAAAGGGGCTTTTTGTCGGGAGTTTGCTTCCTGCTCTTGGGAAGCCTCAGTCAGAACAAAAATAACTTTTCTCTTTTCTCTTGTCTTACTCCAGAGGAGGAAGAGGAGCAGGTGCCAACCGATGGAGGAACTTCCGCGGAAGCCATGCAGGTGCCTTTGGAGGAAGAAGGAGAAATGGAAGAAGACGAGGTGGTCAACGACGAAAATTACTTAAGCAAGAGGCCCCTGGAAAGCCCCGAATCCGAGGAACTGCCTCTAGCCAAGCGACCCAGACTAACCAACACAAAAGGGGACGCAGAGCTGGACGTCACCCCGGAGCCACGCGAGCCTCTTAGTTTGATCAATGCCCAGAAGGTGCCTCCGATGCTTTCCCCGGTTTGTGTCCAAGAGGGTGGCGATCAGGTACCGGCTTCCCCAGAACCACCCATCCTGGCTCCGGTAGCAAAGTCCCAGCTGCCTGTTCCCAAACCCTGCGAATCCAAAGCCCTTCTTCCTAAACCCAAGACGAAAACAGCCTCTCCGGTGCAGAAGACTAAGGCGCCCAAGGTTTCCCCGTCTCCGGTGGTGATGGGCAGCCCCCTTCGCTCGCCCAAAATTGGCAGCAAGGAGAAAAAGTCTCCTGGCCGGGCCAAGAGCCCCCGAAGCCCGAAAAGTCCCAAACTGCCGGTCCACGTGGTCCCTCAAATAACAATTAAGCAGGAGACCCCCACGAAACCCCCCTTAGTTGTACTGAGTGACAAGATGGGGAAAGAGACTATCCAGGTTAAGCAGGTACCGATGCCGGCTGAGCCTCCCAAACCCGCGGGTGAGAACCCGGCAAAGAAATTGATGGTGATGGACAAGACTATCGACGACTCGATCGATGCGGTCATCGCCAGGGCGTGTGCCGAGCGCGATCCCGATCCGTTTGAGTTCTCTTCCGGGTCCGAATCCGAAGGAGATGTTTTCATGAGTCCCAAAAGACTTTCTGTATGTGAGCCTCCCATCCCTAAAGCTTCCGTTTCGGCGAACAGTGGCTTAACTAAAGTAGGAAGCACCCCACTCCCGCCTTCTGGCGGAACCTCGAGTTCGGACATTTCGTGGACGATGGACGATTCGATCGACGAGGTGATTCGTAAAGCCAACCTGGGTCCTCATGCCAATTTGCCGGCCAGCTTCCCCTACTTCTCGTCCCCTTCGGCTTCTCCGCCCACGCCGGAGCCTCTGCTCAAAATCTACGAGGAGAAAACGAAGCAGGCGGCCTCGGTGGAGGTGAAGAAGAAGCTGAAGAAGGAGCTGAAGACCAAAATGAAAAAGAAAGACAAGCAGAAGGAGAAGAGCAAAGAGAAGAACAANACACACACACACACACACACACACACACACACACACCAAAGAAGAAGAAACGGGAAATTCCAAATGTGGAATTAAAACCCTGCCATTAGCATAACATTTAATTTGACTCTTAATTATACCATGTATGTTCCATTGCTTTTTTTAAAAAAAACTGGCTTTTTTCCCGAGTGGAATAATTATGCCCTATAAAGTTAATTAAGTTCCTTCTCGATATCAGTTGCAACAGAGTGTGATATACTTGCATCTTGTCACTGCCTTCAAGGAAACGCTCAGCTTGTTGTAGGACAAATAATTGAGATTTCTGTCTGCTATCCATTACATTCCAATCAGTTTTTTTTATTTTAGAAAAAAAATCAGATATAATAAATGAAATGACGGGCATATATTTTTATCTGTTTCAGTTCAGATCAGGAGATGTTCTCAGGGCTGGCTGGTCAGTTCACCCTTGTGTCAATAATTGTGAAGCCACTTTCTTTGTTTAACCTTTGGGTTAAAGTTTGGCTTCCCCCACCGATGATATTTTCTGAGAAAACTTCCAAGGTCCCTTCCAACTCTGTCATTCTGTTATTTTGAATCTGGAAGCAGATCAGTTCGGGGTATGGTTGGCATGTTGAATTGATGAACAAAACCAGCCCCAAGTGCTTGAAAGGAAACTAAAAGCCAACCCACTCCCACCCCACCACCCCAGAAATATGTCTGCTAAACAAGCAAGATGTTGTGGTCCGATGGTGGCCTGCGGAGCTGACAGCAGAGTCGTACAGTGAGGAGGTTGGGGTGGAACATGGGCCAGTCCTGGAGTCTGGAGAAGGTTCAGATGAGGGCTCTGTGTCGGAGGCAGAGAGGGGGCCAGGGCCATCTGGAAGTTATGTGCTACCTCTGGAGCCTCTGGAGCCTGACATCAGCAAGGCAGAAGAACAGTGTGGGCCTGTTCCCACTGTGTGCATGCGCAGAGCTGCCAGAAGGCAAGAACAATTAAAACAAAAAGGGCAACTCAGGAGTAAGGCTTGGAAATGATTGGCCACTCCCATAAGACATAAAAGAGGGGCAAATGGATGTGAGCCTTTGCAGGAAGCAATTTTGTTCATTCTGGTTGGTTCAAACTCTGAGAAGCTCTGTTTGACTCTGTGCTCCATTTGGCCTTGCAAAACTAATTGGCAGTTAGGTCTCTGGCAGCGTTTCAAGGGAGATAAAGGTGGATGCTTATCAGCCTTACCCTGAAAGACTGTGGCAGACCTCTGTCGGACTCTTTACAAACTATTTGTGACTCATTACAGGCTGTAAATGGCCATAATTCACAGCCGTTTAAATAAAAAGAGGCTTTTGGGGGCTAAGCATGTGATTTATACTGTCTCGGGAAGTCTAATAAAACTCAGGAAGTCAAATAAAACTCCTTTTTTCAGTGCTGTTGTAACTTCAAACTGTCACTAAGGGAACTGTTGTAAGTTGAGGACTACCTGTATTTTGCTCCACTTATAGAGGGCATCTGACCCGAAGTGGTGCAGTGGCCTAGAGGTGGAGCTCTCGCCTCACAATCAGGAGGCTGTGAGTTCGATCTTAGGTAGGGGGCAGATATTTCTCTCTCTGGGCACGTTGAGAATATATCTGCTGAATACA